GCAGACCAAAGGATGCAGAAAAAAAGTGATTTAACAAACCAGGAAAAACATCTTTTCAACAACTCCAAGGAACATAGGCTCTCAAAAAGAGATTGTCAAGGTTATTTACATCTTGAGAGATGACTCAGTGGTTGAGAGCACTAAATGCTCTTCCCGCATTAGATGTACTAATTATCTTTTTAAAAATTGATTGATTTTATGAGTATTTTGCCTGCATGTAAGTGCACCTGTGCTGTACAATGCCCACAGAGCCCAAAAGAGGGTGAAACTGGAGTTACAAATAGTTGTTAGCCACCAAGTGGGTGCTGGGAACCAAACTCAGGTCCTCTGCACAAACAACCAGCGCTCTTAACTGCTGAGCCATCTCTCCAGCCCTGAGATTAAACATCTTAAATGAGTGAACTATAACTATAGCTTCGTAAGGCTATTGAAAGTGTTAATAGAGGTAATAGAGGTGATATTTCATTTATGGTTATTATAGAAGGGATGGGTCTTATTTCATTTGGTTTGTTTAATTTAGGTTTATCTTACTATGTAGACCAGGCTGGCCTTGAACTCACAGAGCTCCACCTGCCTCTGCCCCCCTCCCAAGTGTGTGTGTCCCCACACCCGGCTTATCTATCCTAACACCTACAATGAAGATGATTCTTTGAGAGATTTTCTTAATTTGTCATATTATCGATAATACAGAAAAGAGCACATGTGTACACACACACACGCACACACAGGTCCTAAATAAAAGGCAATATAATACACCTTTCCTTATAACAATGGAAAAATAGAAACATACCCTAAGACTCCAGCAGGCAACTGTCAGAAAACTCTGGTTTAATGTCCTGCCAACCCTGGTCAGGACCCTGCCAAACCTGTAGCTGGACTCAAAAGCTTAAATGATTTCTACATGGATGATGGTTCAAATTTTTAAAAGAAATGCAGACAAGGGCCTCATGAGCATTTGTTTCTAAGTTTTTTTTCCCTAGTCTACTGCTCCACTGTACTCCTGTTAACACTTGTGCCATGTGTCCTTCTGAAGCAGGCAAGTCTGAAACCAAGCATGAAACACAGTAAAGATAAAGATCCGAAACAGTCCTCAACTTCTGGGAAAGACATCCAACCATCTCAGAGTATGAGTCACCATCCCTAGTTTTTAAGTAAGCATCACACTCTAATCATATGGCTACGTTACAGTCCCCAAGTTATTTGGCAATCATATAAACTGAATCTATTAAAAATGACACATTAGGCTTTTCTTCTGTATTGTTTCTTTAGGGAAAACACCTGATCGTTACAAAGTACACAAAATATTTATTTTATAGATTACTTTGGATCTCAAAAGCACAGACGTTTCCAATGAAAATTAAATAATTACCAATGAGTCTTCAGCCTGAAAATGGAGTAAAAACCTGAAGCAAGCAAATAGCTACCTCCCCTAGGCCTGTGAAGATGGAACTCTTCTACCAGTCAACATGAGGAAACCTTTATGTAGCTCACTGGATTTCTACTCAGGAACATGGTCTATCTACTCAGGAAGAGTGGGTCTCATACAGTTTCTCTAGTGCTCTGAAAAGCTATCTTGCCAAAGAAAACTGAGTGGGCAGCTGAATTAATGAAATATACATCTGTGCACAACTGCACTCTAATTTCATGATCAACAATCCTGATAACATAAACAATGAAGCATTTTCCTCGTAGCCACAGAATAAATAACTTCACATCCCCCACTAGGATAATTTATGCAGGTGACCGCAATCAGAATAAATGATAAACAAGGACATTTCTAGTAGAGATTAGCTCTCAGATGTACAGTGTGTTTCTGTACACAAGTGGCCCTCAGTTCTCAGGGACTTTCTCTTAACTCCCTATCAAACCAAAATAGTGGCTAAGCAAATTTGATATATCTTAGTTGAGTTTTTAAAAGGAGTATCGCCTCACATGCTACCAATATTTTTTATATTATTGAGTGAAGTGGCTACCTGTGTAATACTAACTACACCAGGCACACGATAATGAGCTAAGCACATTTTGGACCACAAAAGGCAGCCTCAAGCGCTTAGAAATAAGGATGCTACTGCATTTTGGATCTGGTAGGCTAATGGGTCAATGTCTGGCTCAATCAGACACACACTGAAAGAAAATCACAACACTGTCTCCAATGTACTATATACTTGATGAAAATGAAATATCATCAAAAAAACACTCCCTGGGGCTGGAGAGATTGCTCAGCTGTTAAGAACACTGGTTTCTTGCAGAAGATCTGGGTTTGAATCCCAGCACCCACATGGCAGCTAACAACTGTCCATAACTCCAGTCCCAGGGGATCCGACAGCCTCTTCTGACCTCCATGGGCACTGCACAACACGGGTGCACTTATTTACATGCAGGCAATACATGCATGCACGCAAAATAAAAATAATAAATAAACCGGGCGTAGTGGCCCATGCCTTTAGTCCCAGCACTCAGGAGACAGAGGCAGGCGGATCGCTGTGAGTTCAAGACCAGCCCGGTCTACATAATCAGTTCAGATCAGCTGGGACTACAGGGAGACCCTGTCTCAAAAAGGCAAAAAATAAATAAATTAAATAAATAAATAAATAAATAAAAATTAAAAAAAAATCACTCCCCGAAGAGGCATAAGATAAAGAAGAGGCATAAGATAATATTTAAAAAGTGACGGCATAGAGTAAAAGGCTCTTTGGTAGGGAGGTAAGTATATATTTATTATCTAGTATGCTTGAGGCACCTTCCTTCACACCTGCCAGCTGCCCCTATCAGGAAGCAGAGTCCCTAAAAGGTGAAATAACTTGCCTGAGGACAACAGCTAGTAAGTAAGCAGCTAGAACTCCATCCAGCCTGAACTAACAGCCACTGTGTTGTGCACATCACTGCTGCCTGCTTTATGTATGATTTTTGCAATAAACTTCACTTAAATTTTAAAAATAATAGTTCTGCCAGGCGTGGTAGTGCACACCTTTAATCCCAGCACTCAGGAGGCAGAGGCAGGTGGATCTCTGTGAGTTCCAGGCCAGCCTGGTCTACATAGTGAGTTCCAGGCCAGCTGGGGTACAGGGAGAACCTGTCTCAAAAACAAAAAATTAATTAATTAAATTAAAATAATAGCTCTTACTATGTTTGGAGGTGAAAACTTCAGGGAAAAAATTTTGGAAGTGGAATTCTGATCTTTCACCTAAAAAGCAGCTATGGTAAAGCTGATAAGGGTCTGGAATATTCTACCATGAGCTCTGACAAGTTTCTAAGTACAACGTGAAAATATTTACATAGGGGTTGAGGATTTAGCTCAGTGGTAGAGCGCTTGTCTAGCAAGTGCAAGGCCCTGGGTTCGGTCCTTGGCTCCTAGAAGAAAAAGAAAAGATGGAAATATTTACATGAACTAAAACTATAGTTCCCAACTAAAGCTAAATAATTATTTCTGGCTCCTTACCCTATGTTACTCAATAACAAAAACACTAGAATCCAGCAAAGAGCAAACACAAAGATGTATGGAAAGAAATCATATACACCTAGGCCCTGAAAATATGAAATGACTGATTTCTACATCAAACACACTTTGTTTATACTCTTATTTCTGAGCTGATGTCAGACAGCAACTAACCAATGCAAAGTGAAGTGTTCAAGTTCAAAATCTGGTCCTAGTAAATGAACATGGATATTTCCTTTTTAATTACAAGAAAACACACCTAGGTTTTATCACAAAGAAAATGCATATAAATTTTCCTTTAAAAAACAACAACAAACAAAAATAAAAAACCTTGAGCTGAGGAGGTAGAAGCAGGCATTGATCTCTGTGAGCTCAAGGTCAGCCTGGTCCAAAAACAAAACAAAACCCCTTGAATTTGAAAAAGGTGACCAAATAAGGTCACTTGAGCAGTTTCCAAATTTTGTTACTCCAAGTGCACAGTGTACGTAAGAGTTCAATGAACATAAGAGTTCAGGGTTGGACACACAGTTAACAGCAGCTGGCCAGTGGGCCTCCACACAGGTCAGTCTTCCACCTACACACCTGGTACATGATATGCCATATTAAAGGGAACACAGTACCTTCAAGGAGGTCATTAAACAGAACCTGGACAATGCACCATGCCCACATCCTGAACAGTCAGTGAGGATTTTTTTTTTTAAACCCTCAGTTCTTCCAACAAGATGATGAAAAAAAGAAAAGTCAAGCCCATAGAAAATGTCCTTAGCCAACATACCCAAATCCTGAGTGGATAAAGAGTTAAATGTAAACGGGACCCCATCACTCTCAAAAAATGAAAATAAATAAACAGACGAAAAGACGTTTCAGACGGCTCCACATGTGAGGTTAAGCTTTGAAGTGACTTCCACCCTAGCCCATGTGGGGGGGTCTTAGAGGAGTTCAAAGTTCACACAGGTTAACTCGCTTAAGGACGACTACACTGCCTAGCACACCAAAAGACTGGCAGGAAGCCCCCTGCCTCCCGATACAAAGAAACCTTCAGGGCAGGTAAGTAGAACCCAGCCTCTGGATCAAAATGCTTTCCCATTCCCAGCTGAAAAGCTTCCCAAAGTCGTTTTTTTCAAAGTTTCGAGCAACCATTCAAAACTCCAGCCATGCCCTTTCCTGGCTTCCAGGTTCCTTCCGAGGCCCGAAGAGCTGGCGCACACCTGCGCAGACCGTGGGACAGATGGGCAGCCCAGGGCCGGGGCCTTCGGGAGCCGCCTCCAGGTCGCGTCCGCGCCCGGGAGCCCTGGGAGCCGCTGCCCGTCCCCGCCGCGCTGGCCCTGGGGAGCCTTTCGAGACGGCCGCGACTCCCACCGACCCAGAGGCGCTCTTC